CTGCAGCCCCAATCACAACATAACAAGCACTTGGAACACCAACACTTCATAGGGGTGCGCCACTCTTTTTTTTTGCTCAGAATCATAGTGGCAATTGTCCCGTGCGATATATCGCAGTTGTCAGCAGATACATATAACAGAAACCGCTTCCAAAAACCGGTACCTATTGACCTCATTGATGGCAAGTTTGGAAAAGGTATACGAAGGGACAAAACAAACTCTTAGGCTCCTGTAGTAGCCTTATCTTCCCTCAGCCTCCTGTGACCTTAGGCCTTAGAGCGGGAGAACCCGAAGCGGATTTGATCCGCAGACCATACGTGTTTAAGCCAAATAATATGTCACTGTTCCACCTTCGCTCATTACTTATATGCACTAAGAAAAAGTGCGCTGCAAACCTTTACTACGGCAACACAATGAGGAGGTGATAGCCTCAAAGGTACATTCAAAGGGCTTCTCATGCAAACCTAAAATTGCCGTGACGGAGATGAGGATTTTGCCCAAAGGGGAGACGAAGCTGAAGGATAGCTAAGCTAGGTTTGAAGGCAGCGCGCGCGATGGCTAGAGGCGGATAGTTGTCGCCAACGTCATTGATTGAAGGTGGAAGTGAGGTGTGACCAAACGCCCTCTCGCAGCCCTTCCACCAATGACTCCGGCAACAACCGCCCGCCTCCAGCTGTTGGGCTCAGTGCCTTGGAATCTATTCGGATGAGGATAACCCTAGCTCTGAGAAAGGATTCCTTTGAATATCACTCAAGGTTATCAGGGCCAATAATTATTTGAAAATGGATACTTGGTGGACCCATGTGTGGAATTCACAAAAAAAAACAGAAATAGGCAGTGAACGATAACTCTAACGTCTTGCGTACGTACTGTACACGAGAATCACTTGGCATATTTTCCTTTGAAAAATTGAAAATTTGGAATGAAAACGTGCCAGAGGAATTATTACGAATTTTTCTCTAGCAACACTGTAAAACGTATGTACGCGGCTTCCTGAATGGTTAACTTTGAATAAACGTTGCTTTACCACAAACGAGGGTTCCACGCGTAATAGTGTTTCTGAGAATTTCTTACATTCCATTGGTTCTCCTAAAACTCGAAATAAATACTGAAAACGTTACAGGAGGGAAGGACTGTTGAATGAACGGGGCTCTGTTTGGATCGAAAATGTTCAAACTGATCCAGTACTTCGCTGGTAGAAAATGCACGATTTCCACCGGGTCCTAGTCAGTCATGGATGTGGGTCTGACTGTGATTGGGGTTTTTGCTTCGGTATTTGTAAAACGAAACAAGTGTGAAATTCAGTGATATTTTATGAAGTTCAATGAGAATCAAAAGCTTGGCAACCTTCACTGCTACATCGTCGCAGCCCTGGGACCTAACTATGTTAGCAATGAGGTTTACCATGGCAGTTAGTTCTTGACTTTTTTGAAGACAAACTGCACACTCAGCCGGGTGGGTTTGCAGCTGCAGTAGAATGCCACTTTCTCCGGTAAAAAAAACACGGAAACAAGGCTGGAGGGTCGTAATACTCAAAAGTGCACCCAAGCTATCTTTCCACACCCTTCAGCCTTGTTAGGTGCACACTTGAGCTGAGAAAGTGACGCGCTACAGCAGCTGCGAATCCATTTCGCCCCACATAGGGCATGCACCAGGCGTTCACGTCTTCAGCCTTGATTATTGCCCCCTATGCCCGGAAATATTTGTATTCAAACAACGATTACACTCCCTAGCGCCGGCTTTGGGACATCCCCGTCGTAACGAGTGGTGAAGCCGGCGTTCTGAGGGTCCTGGGCATGGGCTGCATCGCAGGACTTAATAGAATGATTTTATGTACGTGGAAATGTCAAGTAAACTAGCTAGCTATCATAGATACCAGGGAGTTTGCGTCTTCAGCAATTCGACGATCCCATCCCCTCTCGGTACGATCGCGCACAGAGGAACGAACACTTGATCCTTACCAGTTCTCGAGATATGCACGATATTACAAGACGTAGAAAGCAGTTGCCCTCAAACGATTACCACGACTTTTGAAAACCTAACCGTTCAATTCTCTTTCAAGATTAAACGCAGCATGATCCGATTCTTGGCGAATTTCATTGTTTACGTCGTCATAACTCTGAAATTGTTTTGAAATTTCTTTGGCGTGAGAAATAAGATTCCCTCAAAGGCAGAAACTAATCCGATCCATAGGTGCATACCGCGTTAGTCACATGGATGGAGACGAGCCTACCGTTGTATTTTTGTCACTTTTGCATAGTGATGCGTATACAAGCTGATTCGCATAGGCTCCGCCCACACGATTAGCGTGGAATGAACCTCTGAAGTGCAGCATAAATGCGAAACTTACCACGTCATCTGGCTCCGACTTCACTACGTGCATTGTAGCCAATTGCTCTTCCATTTCTAACATAGCGTCTAAGTCATCCCTTTCCATGAATGGTGATATGGCATCGTGCCTGTTCGCAGCAGGAGAGGGGTTTCCCTCTGAAAAGATGCCAACCGCTCTCATTGAACTAGTAACAACTTTCACAATCGAATTTCCAGAAGCCTAAGCTATATTTCTGTGGAAAGCGACGCTCTTGAGGCAGATTTTGCTAGAATTTTGTGAAGGTTTAGTTAGCCTAATCGGAACTCAGGTTCCCATAATCAATCGTGAGACACGCGGTGAGCTTGCCAGTATACTACCACCTACAAAGTAAAGAAGAGGTAGGTTGTAGGCCGCAGGCCATCGTATAGGCCAAGTCGCTCATAATACCTCTCTTAACAAAAGTAAAGACAAAAGTGGACATTTGCGTCTTTTGCATATAAATTGATCGCAAACAATAAAAACGAATTACTAGTATTACCTTGATAATAAGCGCCAAAGTAGTCTGGTTCAGGAAAAGACGAGATTGGTGAATCTGGTGGCTCCTAGGTGAAAGTTAGGAAGTTTACATCAACAACTCCTCAACGGAGGCGCAATCATACCTGCTTGATTACATGTTCTGGAGGTCGGGTCCAATCTTCTCCACTTGCAATTTCGTTGTCTGAATATCCAAAATCGAGAACTCTCTCGCAATCAGAGCGCGAATCCAGGTCATAATCCAGTGGTGGGCCGCAGTCTTGAACAGAAGTATTGAGGGGCAAGTACTGTGTTTCAGTGGCACGCATGAGTTCATGGGCTTTGCTTTTTGACGCTTATGCGTTCCGAAGAGACTTTCTGATAAATAAGAGTATAGTAAATGAGGTCCCATTACTTCCAGCACAAGTGCTTGGTCACAGCCCACGCTGATCGTACGGGATGAGGCTGAAAGATATTTCCAAGGGGAGGCGCGTGCCAATAAGGAAGGCATAATGGTCAGACTGACGCCGCCCATACGGTCGTCATGGACAGCTCTTTGTCAGCCCACCCTAGCAAAAACTCACAAGTATGCCAGAAAGGCCCGCAAGGTTGAAAGGTTACTTTGATCAAATAATGTTAACCAAGATGTTCTTAATATGAGTCCCAGGCCTGACAGCTCTTCCCAAAAATTCTTCCCAAAAAAGATCACAAATGATATTCACCGTAATTATAGTCATCATCTATTTGCGACGTATCGTATATAGCGCCGAAATCTCCCGTAGATCCGTCATAATTTTGGTAAGGAGCACCGTATTCTGCTTCATCATATGGCTCCTCTTTCTTCACAATATGTAGGTCAAAGTCGGTTGGAACGGTCACGCTAAAGAAATTATAACTGGGACTTTGGTGATAACATATTTACGGAACATCACTTACTTAACAACGTCTACATTCTCATCTGACTCTCGATTTTGTCTCACATTCCCATTTTTGAAACGTTTTCCTTTTGGTTCCGATCGGCTATTTTGTTTCCGTTTTCGCTGTTCTGCCCTTAAAGCTATGCATTTGTCAGAGGCCATACTAGCAAGAACTCCAGTGCTGCTAAATTCAGGGAATGAAAATTAGAACTGGTAGAACTTACGCTGGGCAAATGACTATGTGGTCGTGAAAGTCTCATACATACATATATTTGACCAGTCACTATAGAAAGTTTTGAGCAGAAGAGGATGTGGATCCGAGTACTACACAGAGTAAGAGGGATAACCAGAGATGTATCATTCTACAAACCTAGGATCTGGCTAGCCGCAACCACACCTTCATGTAAAAAATATGAAGTAATCTGAAGATCCACCACCTGCTGGAGAAGAACAGTTAACGACTCGTGTAACTCCCAAAATGCTGGCAACTTATATACTGGAGTCCCCTGGATGATATAGAGAATCCTCAGTCTGGATGGACCAACGAGAGCTTCGTCATTGCTACGAGTCTAGGAGAAATCTTACGTAGTCGCCGAGGCGCGAGTTGATGGTATGGACCGGGGTACCTGGAATGGGAAGACCGATATTTTCTTTGTAGACCCGGACTGAAGGTGAGCGCTGGCGGTTACATCAAGTAACTCGAGATTCCTCCCACTGGTCCCGCGTAACTTCTTGAGAACTTGTGCTGCCTACAGGTTTGGTGACACGCACGAGGGTTTGGAAAACTCCCGCTATTCGAATAGGAAGGGCGTTTCGTAATGATAGAAGATTGTAGTATTGAATATGTCCTCTGAACTGACGCCATTCAAGGTTATGCTATGGTTGATGGGGGGATTTCAATAGGGTGGTTAAGGTGGCGGAGAAATCGATCAGCCGCTGATGCAGTACACATCGGGTTGGGCGTGGCGAGAATCTGAGCGATGGAGTCCTCGGAAGTCTGTGGGAACGGTCATAATAGTATTTGATATGCCTATTATGGGGTAGATGTGAGATAGAATTTTATAAAGTGTAACTTATATGATCGAAAGCGAGTGAAGGCAAAGTGACTTTTTTTCGCCACCTGTATGAGAGCACGTACAGTCTTGTTCGTTCGGGTGTCGGGGCTGGGTGGTAACTTAGCACCTGTTTCACAACGGTCTAAGGCCTTGAGAGTTGCAGTGGTGGAGATAGTGCTGCCGCAGAGCTAACCCACACGCTGACAGCGCGTGTCAATCCAGCGAAAAGGCTGTATGTCAATGAATATGTATATCTTATGATGAGCCGAGAGTAGGAATCGTGGCATTTGAACATGGCACGAATGGTTCCGTGGAGATATTTCAGTCGGGGAAATGCTATCTCGTTCTGTTGGTTGACAAGAGCAGAGAGCATAAGTCGTGTCAAGGTGAAAAGATTCCCACAAGAAGACGAGAGCCTCAGGTTGGTTTGAAGCCGAGCCGGCCTACCGAATCAAGGATTTCTTGTATTATATTGACAATTATGCCGTTACATTAAGTAAAGGGAATGAGGGAATGTAGGGGTGTTGCGGATATATGAAAGCATTCGAGATGCGTAGAAAACGCATGAAGCTTAGACTAATTTGGAATCTGATATGAAGTAAATTGTAGATTCTCATGTGAGCAGTGGCTTTGATAACTATTCTTGAATACCGACGCCATCATACAGACGAATTTGGACTGCATTTGGGAGGCGAGCAAGACAAGATGGCGTCCGTGAGCAAGGCACAATGATGGTTCCGCCCATAGAACGAGCGTGAATTGAGTCCTTGGGATCCACAACTAGTTATTTTACTTCGTTTAGAGCCAGTTTAGCAACTTTCTACCTTTTTTGATGACGAGCTTCACGCCGTTCCGCTTTCTGCTGTCGTCTTTTCTCCTTTCGATCACGTTTTTCATTTTCAATCCTCTCTCGCCACGACTCCAGTAGGTGCTGCAATGACGGGGCATGCGCTACCAGTATGGCAGTGCGACCATCGTTATCGATCGGTATATCCTGAATCAGAAGTCGTTTACGATCAGGCTCCTGAGTAGCCTGCAGGAAAGCAGAGTGCAAACATCACAGGCGAAGCACGCGGTCAGATATTGTGGGTAGTGAGGTTCAAATAGGGACTCCAAGATACCAAGAACGGTAAAAGGGAGAAAAAACAGAGAAAATGTCATCAGAGTTCCAAATGAAGCCCCCAAGCGAGCGCATTAGTACGAACAGAGAATGAGCAAAGGGTGTATTCGGACGAGACCACCGGATAGGGTGTTGTGGTCAATATGCAATTAAAGGCAGTGTCACCGATCAGTCAGAGTTCCCCTCTCCTTTCCTAGGCTGGTAGACTGGTACGCATAGGCAGCGAGTGCACCACTTTCGCGGCGCAAGAGCGAGTGAGGAAACCGAGATGTCGTCGTTCCTCTCATTGGTCCAACCCAGTTTCATTGAATCCGCCCGCCGCTGTGGCCAGCCACAATAACAGGAGACCTGCCAAATTACATAGTTAGGGACAGAGTTGTCAATAAGAAATCAACTGCGTTCAGTTGCGGCGACCATATCGACTGGGACACCACTAGCTCTTACAACTGCGCTTGGTAGGGGTTTTATTTGGGGCATTTGCAAACATTTTTTCTATTTTCCTCCACCATTGACTTTCTTGGCATACAGATCTCGCCATTTGAGCACCACTAAAATTATCTGTTCGCGGGCTTTGCATTTATCCCTGCTGACTATTATTGGCAACTATTTTTCTGTCTGGATGATCTGGAGGGGTGGGCGGAGATACTGAACTGAATCAGGAAAATGAGAGGAACGGCAGCGCCACCCACCGCTCACCCACCGATGAGTGCCCTCGCGTTTGCCCCGTGAAAATGGTGCAGGCGCTACCACTAAACAAGCTGCTTGCTCGCGGAGGACGAGCAACTTCTAATCTAATCGCGGAGCGTGCCATTGATTTCTAAAAGCCCTTAAAGAAGGCTTCTGCCATTATTCTATTATGATGGCAAATAGCTTCACAGCCCTTCTAAATGAATGGGTCGAACATGTAGGTTAATTCGAATGTGAAGCATTGGAAAGTGGCAACCGATACAGGCTCAGGCC